GACACTCACCAAATCACCACAGCTTGGAAGAGTGGCCAAACTACTACACTAAAATTTTAGTATAGAAGGGGTTTCAAAGCAATCCAGACAGAGTGTCTCCTTCCAAAAGAAAACAACACACACACAGTTTTCTGGCTTATGTCATATCACAACTGCTTCACTCACCACTAGGTCTCCAGGCTTCAGTTTCTCAGCATCAACCAATCCAATAACAGGTAGGAAATACGTCTACGAGAAAGGATTCAAAGTCAGCAAAACCAGCTGTACCAGGATGGGGCCCCTTTTTCAGCACTCCAGGAACCCAGCTGTGCATGGGGTCCTACCTGGCGAGTAGAAGTTTTGATCACAGCACACTTGCCCTTTCTCTGGGAATCCAGGTCAATGTTCGCTCCGTCCTCCTCCTGGTCATTGGGGTCAACATCCAGTAGCTGAAAACGAGAGCGAGAGATTCCATTATAACAAAACCAGACAAGCAGGGCCATTCCAGGATTAACATTTCTAGATTATATCCTTTTATATTATATATACTAAATTATATATTTTTAAATAGAAAAATGTTAGCATTTTTAAGCAGATCAGCAAAATTATTGAATTATAAAAGGAATGCAATTAAAGGCTTTTATGAAGTTATCTTAACTAGCTTCTTATAATGAACAAAGCAGGCTAAGTACCTAAGTACCTGTATTCCTGCAACTTGTAAGGTACATGCACATCAACCAAGTTAGCAGTGAGTGCACCGTATTGCCTGCTAAGAAGGAAATGTTCAGTGGTTTGTAAATTCCAACCCATATTTTTTTTCCTTCTTTCTACTTAGTTCATTCCTCAGACCTTTTTTTTTTTTTTTTCAAAGAGGTCTCAGCTACTGCTGCTTTGACTGCAGCAGTCCTCTTCATGCCCAGCTGGGAATAGTTTACAGCAGTTTAAACAACAGAGTCACCACTTTTCATTTACTGTGTCACAAGTCTCAGACAATATGTGCCAAACTCTATGCCCCAAGTCCACATTAAGTGAACGCTGGTAGCCAGGTTTTGTGCAGATGCAGACGAGCTAACATGGCCCTAAGGAATGACCCAGTAAGAAGTGGCCAAGCAACAGGCACTTCTGGGCTGCAAACAAAACCAACTGGAAAAATCTTAAAAGTCCTGACTCCAGAATAACTAGGAGCTTGACAAGATACCACATTTCTAATTATGGATGTGCTCCCCTGCTCTCCCTTCTCCAGATACGAGCTGCGCACCCCTCTGGCATCGCTCCAGAAACGCACGCTCCCCCTCACCTCAATAACGTTGGAGACAAGGTACGGCAAAGTTTTGTTCACTTTGATCTTCTCGCTGTTCTCTTTGATCTTATCCTTCATGGCTTGAAGCTCATGGGTCACTCTCAGCACTTCACTCTTCATGATCTGGAATCAGGACATGTAAGGCAACTACTGTCAGATGTTACTCAGTCAGTACATCCATATCCATATCACATTCATATCAGTAACGTAGCTAAGATAACCTGCAAATATAAGTGAAGCAAGGTCTGCAGTAAAAGGCAGCTCTGCTATTAGGTGAGCTGCTGCAAACTGAAAGTATGAGCAGGGTGATGGCCAAATTAGAGCTTATGTCTCCTGAAAGCAGCCGGGCTGCCAGCACCTTTACCTTTGTACCCCCATCTGCATCCCTACTTTTATAGGGCAGTTACAATCTGCAGGACCACATAAACCACTCAAGACTTGCACAGGAGAAGCAAACCATACTGACTGCTTTCGCAGGAAAAAATATGCTGTGTGCTCCTTGAACAAAAACGCTCAGCACTGGAACAACGCCCGTTACAGAAGATAGCCAAATCCCAGGGAAAACAATGGGATACAGACTCATAGGATAATTCAGGTTGGAAGGGACATCAGGAGCTCTCTAGTCCAACCTCCTACCAGCCATGGGGCAGACCAGGTTGCTCAGGGCTTTACTCAGGTGGGTCTTGAAAGCCCCCAAGGACGGGGCCGAAGAGCTTCCCTGGGCAGCCTGATCCCCAGCTTCACATGGGGAAGGACTGTTCTTGTACCCACCTGGAACTCCCTGCTTTAATTAATGGACATTAATTGATGATTTTAGTTAATCTTGCCCTTCACTACAAGGTGTGTGCAGAGAACTCAGATTTCTTACATCTCTATAAAATTTTAACTTTTCAACACAATTAGAAGAAAAAAAATAACAGAAAGACAGAACATAAAATAGTTCTGAATCACCATCCAACAACACATTTATATCCAAGACTACTGCAGCGAATACAGCTGTTTCTCAGTGCTAGCTGACAGCAGCACATGTTCTGCCTCCTTTCCTGGTTCACATCACAGAGTTTGGAAATGCTCTGTGAGATCCACAGAGGCAACTGTAACACCAAAGGGGCTCCATAAAACTGGCCGCAGCTAAATTAGCTTATATGACTCTATTCAATGAGAGATGTATCTTCCCTAAAAGATAACTTTTTCAAACTTTTCCTGACTAAACATAATGCTGTACTGTTGCACGTAACTATCCACAGGACAGAACTGCTATCAGGAGTGAATATACAACCTGTGGCATAAAAATACAAAAATACAAAAACACAGAATTTTGATTTAAAGTAGCCTGGGAAACTTCCAAGGAAGACTGTCGCTGTGGAAACCAACTTCTGTTGAAACTGCAGTGCTCCTCTATGTGAATAGGTCCATACTGGGACAGAGCGACCTTTCAAACCTTTACTAGGGAGCTAGAGGAGGTGACACAGGCTGCTCTCTCGGCCTGTTTGCAGATGACACCAAAGTGGATGGAAAGGCCTGCACCCTCAAGGGTGGCACTCAGAAGGACCTCGGCAGGATGGAGTTTTGGGCCTGCAGGAACCTTGCACAAATCACCAACGCCCTGCACGTGGGCAAGAAAAGCACTTTGTAAAAAAGGCACAGCGCTGACTGGGGAGCAACCCTGCAGAAACGGGGCTCTTGGTGGACAGTGCAGCAAACACGGGCTGCGCTGCCAGCCCCAAGGCTCTGCTGCTGGCAGCAGGACCAGCACACGGCAGGGAGCAACCACAGCCCTCTCCTCAGTGCCCAGTTTGGGGCTGCCCCAACACACGAAGGACATCGATAAACTGCAGCGAGCACAGCCTTGGCCTCAAGCACAGGCCTGCAAAGGAGAGGCTTAGGAAACTGGACAAGGGGAGGCCTCAGCAGGTCCTGACAGCAGCCTGTACTGGACAGACTCTTCCCAGCAGTATGTGGTGGGAAGATGGCAGACATGGTGAAATGGGAGGTTCAGAGTGGACATAAAGCAGCCCTTCTCCTCACGAGGACAGCAAAGCTGTGACACGGGTTGCTCGGAGAGGCTACACAGTCACCACCCCCCAGAGCCTTCCTGACCCGCTGCACAAAGCCCAGAGCTGCCGGGTTCACGGCAGAGCCAGCTCTGCGCAGGAGCCTGGAGCAGAGGCCACCCGAGATCCCCCCCAACAGGAATTATCCTGGGCTCCCCTTGCCGGCCCCGGCCCGGGGCAGGAGCCCCCCGTCCGTGTCCGCACGAGCCGGGCGCGTTCGCGGACCTTTCTCCGAAGCGCCCGAGCCTCTCAGAGCCCGGCGGACCGCGGCCCC